CCCCAAAACCCCAAAACCCCAAAACCCCAAAACCCCTTTAGATCCTTTAGAAATTGAGGCAATTAATTTTAATCTATCAAAGAAGAGTAAGCCAATTTTATCAAACTTTATAAGAAACAGAGTGTATTAAGTATTGATATGAGAATCTCTACAGGATATGACATTTATATTGGTTAAGAAAATCTATATCAACAATGGGCAACTTTGTTTTTAAGCCAAACAATCAATATTTAGCATAAATTTATTACTCTCTCGTCTAATAAAGGTTTTAGGGTTGCTTTATCTCTTCTTTCCTGCTATCTTTGCCTTTGGAGTTGTTTTCAGAGACTTGTTCTTCTTCGGAGACTTTCTCTTATAGCCTCCATCAAAATTTGCTGTCTCCTTCATCATTGAATTAGCTTTGGTCTTCAGCTTATAAGTATAAGTTTCTTCATTAAGCCTGTCCTTGTATTTATCGAAGTCAGTGTTTATTCTTTGATTATAAACAATGAAGTCCTTTTCTGCAGTTTGGATAAAATTAATAAAGGAAAGATCAGATTCTTGCTCATTCTTCATATTCTCTTCATTACGTCTCTCCTCATAATTATTGACCTTCCTTGCTCTTTGTTCCTTCAAAGCTGCATTCTTATTTTCCAAGAACATTAGTTTCTCTTTAAGCTCATCAATAGCGGATTCTTGATTGAGCTTACATCTGTTTATTTCTTGGAAAAGATCTTTCACATCTTTCTCAGCCTCTTGAAGATGTCCCTTGAGCATTTCTTTTTCTTTATTCTGATCTTTAATAATGTTCTTGAGGTGATCAATGCAGCTATGACTCTCAAACTCTTTCTTTGTCAAGATTCGTTTGTTGCACCCCTTCATGCATGTGATAAAGTAAGTGCTTTCACTAAACGGAGATTCTTTATCAGGCAGATCATTAACATCAACCACTGGTTTTAAAGGTTTAGGCATTGAGCCTTTGCTCTTGGTAGAGAATGAATCTCTGCTACCAGCTGCCATGGCGGAGTTTTTGAAGTGTCAAGGAGCTTCATGTTTAGCAATCTCTCCTAACCTGGCTGTGAAGCTACATCCTGCAGGGTAGTATTTGCATTTGATAATCAAACTCTGCAGTTTATTTAGTAAGAATTTATTGGTTGAGACATACTTAACTCCTCAATTGCAAGGTTTCTTGCTATAAATATGATTAGAGTCGCTTAAAATTAAGATAAAACTTCTATAATGCTTTCGACCCACCAATGCATGATAGAATTAAGATGCAATTTGAAATTTTTTGAAATAAGTTTTGAATTGAATCAAAGTCTTCAGTTACAGAAAAGATTTTATTGAGTTTATTTTGATAAAGGAAGCGTATCTTACTTCAAATCATCGAGACAATCCTTGCATATCATAATAGAGCATAATCCTCATTGCTTTGGTTTTACCAAAACATTTTCACATTTAAAGCAAAGCAACTTGTCAGGGACTTGTTTTATAAATCTTTGAGTATCAATACCCATTTTTTATGAATTTCTTAAAACTATTTTGTTCAATTTTAAATACAGCAATTGGGGTTTTGGGGTTTTGGGGTTTTGGGGTTTTGGGGTTTTGGGGTTTTGGGGTTTTGGGG